TAAAGTCATTTGTCTCATCCTGACTCTCGTCCTCCTCAATCAAAACGACGTGGAACTGCTTGTCTCTACACCGATGGCTTGGAAAAAATTTCGTGTCACACCGGAAACAAACCCCACGCGTCTTTTTCCTATGGATCTCAAGTTCTGTCATCTGTTTGGAAAGAAAATCTTTCCTAAAAACTGAACTGCTCGGTGGGCGTTGGACGGAGCTACTGCTACCACGTTGACTATCGTTCGGAGTACCATGGTTGGGTCGTTGGTTCCATTGGCGGCCTGATTGTGCAGAGAAATTTTGGTGTTGGATGGAGTTTGAATTTACGCTACCTGAAGGTACCAACGGGTTAGAGTTGTGTGAAAACTTTGACCCATTTTCCTATTGCCCAAATTTTTTACCCGGTCCACCACTATAGGCCCAATTCATTCTATTAATTCCACTACCCACACCAGAGCTTACACCCTTGTTTAACCCATGTTTTAACTTTTCCAAGGCCCAATTTTTTTCTTCTATCTTCTAGGCCAATTCAATTAGTTGGATTATGGAAGTGGGCTGGCCCAATCTGACTTCAACTTTTATTTCTGGTTTTAGCCCATTTAGAAAAGCAGCCCATAGCAAGTCTTCCTTCTCATCTCTCAATGGCGCAGACAGAGCTTCAAACTTGCGGCGGTAGTCCTCCACTGTCCCAGACTATCGGATTCCTATCAACGCTTCATACGGACCACCATCTTGGGATCCTCCGAACTGATGAAGCAGAGAGAGTTTAAATGCTGGCCAAGACATGACTGGAGCGTGGATTTCCATCCATTGAAACCGGTTTATCGCGTCTCCCTCCATACACACAGCCACCGTGTTCAACCTCTCCTCTTCCGCCACGTGATACACGTTGAAGTACCACTCGATTCTGAACAACCACCCGTAAGGATCTTCTCCGACGAATATTGGCATCTTGATTTTCTGGCTAGCATATTCTGGATGACGTCGGCCAGTTATTGCGTTTTCGTCATTCGTATTTGTGTTAGGGTCCCCATTCTCCTCCTCCTTGTTGCCAATAGTGTTCACCGGGGTTTCTATCGAACCACCCCTTTCAGCTCTTCTAGCTTCTTCTTCATCCTTACGTCTAATCCAAGCTTGGATTTCCAGCAAACAATCTCTCATTGTTCCCATGTCTTTCTCCACAACATCTAATCTGTTTTCCATCCTTGTTTCAACCATTCCCCAATCGTCACTACGCTCTAATACCAACTTGTTAGAACCCCCTGTTATTCCCACCTGCAGAAAACACTCATGCACTACAATTTCCAGAATTCATAATCACTGCCACAACACACAAGCATACTCAACCAAACATTTTAAAATTGTTCAATATTACTATTAATATTCAGAAAGTACCAATACAATCTCACAAGATTAACAAGTACAAGAAGAAGAATGAATAGTGAATGACAATAAGCAGATTCCCAAAAACAACTTAAGAAGTAAAAAATAGAAAAGACAATCAATTGGCTTCGAAGGCCAGTACCTCCCCAACCCAATTCCCCTCTATTTTTTCAATACCAAAAATATTCTCTGTCAACCCTTTTTACGCCCAACTCTCACTCTAACAGAATTATTCCAAATCCAATCCACGGATGCCACCTATCCCATGCTTATTGAGTAGAAAAAGTGCCATTTTATCCTCTCTGCCCACTCTTTTTCCTTCTGCTGAAAACGTGCACCAGCGGGGTCTCATCAATCCCTTAAATTATCTGCAGTGAAACACAGGTAGTATATAAAAGGCCCATAACTTTTTTAAAAGCTTGAATCTTTTAATTTTAATGAATCTGGTGGTATATTTATACTTTACATAAAAAATGTTGATTGATTATTTAAATTCTAGGAAGCATTACTTTGTCAGTAAGTATGAGAAGTTTTAACATTCATTAAAGTTGCAAGATTAATAACACACTGAAATTGTAACTGAGAGAAATTAATTAATGTTCTGCAACATAAATGGAGTCCATTCCAACTGGTATGCACAAAGTTTTTCAGGTTCAAATCCTAAAATGAGTAATGTAAATGCAATTCTATCTATTTATAATTTGTAAGAAAATTTTCTTAGACAATCTTTGCAAGTAAAATTTATGTGATTTGGTTGTGGTACAGGTCATACTTTTGTTCTAATCACATTTGAAACTTTGTATCATATAAAGATTTATTTCAAATCTGTTTTGAGGGTCTGAAACATGATGCAAAGCTATGCCTTTACTTTGAGATTCAAAAATGCCTTGAAACAAGAACATATATGTACAATTTGTGCTAAACTAGAGTTGAGAATTCCATTTATAAATTTGTGCCTTCTTAACTATCAAAATATCATTTAAAATAATCTTAATGTATAATGATCCATGTAGTGTTAATGAAATACATGTTTCTTGCCTCATATTATAGCCCTTTATAATATGTGTTTGTTTGCAAGTTTTCTCCCATAAATATCTTTTTGAATTTAGCTCATTACTCTGTAATTGTCGTTATAGCCTTTTGTATTTGGCGTGTTTTCTTCTTCTTGTTCCCTCGTTGTTTTAGGACAATTAATTGTTGTTATAGCCTTCTGTACATTGTTTTCAAAACCGGATCGGAGGGCAACCCGCTCTGATGGCTGGGTCACGGTTCAACCAATCTAACCGGTTGGACCGCTGGTTGAACCGATGGTTTAACAGGTTTAAAATCTAACAAAAACACCCCTGATAAATACCATCAGACCCTATAGGTTTGAAATCTAGCAAACACAACCCTGACCAAATGCAAATCGGCGATCGATTAGGAGAGCAACGGCGACACACCAGGGAGGGTAGATCGGATGATGGGGAGGGCGAATCGGCAGCTAGGAAGTAAAGGCATCGCTGGAAAATGGCATATCGGTGGTGGAAGTCAATGGTCGCGATGGCTTTTTTTGGTGAGATGACTGGATCTTCGTGAACGATGACAAGGGAGCTTGGGAGAAGGTAGATCGGTGGCTGAGGAAGCCTGTCGATGCCGGAGAAGGCCGATCGACGTCGGGAAATGGAAGAAAAATCACGCGGCGAAAGTGGACGACGAAACGTCACGCCACGACTGGGTATGAAGTGTGACAACACCAGAGAAAGTCAGAACTCAGAAGGTGGTTTCCTATAATAAGGGAAGGTGGAAGGTCGTCCAAAAAGGGGAGGTCATTGCCGATTTGCATTTGGCCGAAAGGTGTGTTTGCTAGATTTGAAACATTCAGGGACTGCTGGTAATAATCAGGGGTGTGTTTGTTATATTTTAAACTTTAAACAGTTAAAAAGAGTGACCCGACCCGGAGAAGGCCCCGGGTCCCGGTCCAATCGGTTGGACCGGCCGGTCCGGTCCAATACTTAAAATACAGAAGTTCTGTATTTTAAGTTTTGGTTTTTCAGATGCAAAGATGGACAAAAATTGCATATGCATAAGAGTTAGGTTAATTTTTTATTGATAGAAATGAATCGATGCAGTTTTCTGTTTTTCCAATCTGGAAAATCGATTTTGAATATTATATCACATTTTACAACATTAACAATACTAAGATACAACTCAAAATTTGAATTTTATATTAATTTTTGGAAATTAGATTTAGATCACAATTCAATCAAACCCGGTTTTATTTATTTATTTACTCAGAAAATGAACTTAGTCAAGTCATTTCCAGTGGCAGAAAACACTAGCATACCAAGTAACATTCAGGTTTATTTAAGGGTTTATTGACATTACTTTTTCTTGCAAATATAGAATGTTGGAATATTTGCATAGAAAATCTCCAATTAGCTATGCAATATTTATCACCTCATACTCATGGCAAATTCTGAGAGGTGGTTGCTTTGAAACTGGCCTTTCTTCAGACCACAGCTCCAAATTTACTGTCCCTGTTCCCCAGTGGATGAAACACTTGTAAACCTCCTCGGCGTTAAACAGATTCACGAGTCCCACACCAAGGCACTTATCGACAAGCATCCATTCGCCTGGAATGAAAATCACAATGAAACCTAATGAATCAATAAGAAAAAAACCATTTTGCGGGAAAGCAACAGGGCATTTGATGATTCTAAGCAATGTTTCCTCTTTTGGATTTTATCCGAAGTGCACTAACAACTATAATCACTCACAAACTTTGAAACATTCAAACAAAGACGAAAAAGAACATAACCGGACGCAGATTAGAGATAGTTTCAGATTTCTTCAAGGTATTTCTGAAAAATCTATGAGAAGCACATTCTAACAGAGATGCAAACAAAACTTATTTATGTTAATCCTTATGTTCTCTCGTTTATTGATTTCTCAATGGTCCCCTAATATTTTATTCTAGTTGATACCTTATGGAAATAATGTTAATGAAAATGGTAATAATAATAATAAAATAAAAATAAAAATAAAGAAAATATAAAGTATCAACATTAGGCAGAAGGTCTCCTTCAAAAAACTGTTCCCCAGATTCAAGCCAAACTTCATGCTTAGACCCTGTTACAAACAGAGAACTGATTGTAATTTTCTCATATTGTATTGACAAATTATACATCAATATATAGGAAAATAAAGAACTAATCTAGGAAATAAATAATCTAATCTAGGAAATAAAAAAATCTAACTTCCTATTTTACAGATTTGTTCCTATTATGTATTGATTACAATCCTAATATCCTATTATAGATTTATACACTTAATCATGCAATATCTGTAAGATTTTGCATGNAAAAAATCTAACTTCCTATTTTACAGATTTGTTCCTATTATGTATTGATTACAATCCTAATATCCTATTATAGATTTATACACTCCTATTTTACAGATTTGTTCCTATTACGTATTGATTACAATCCTAATATCCTATTATAGATTTATACACTCCTATTTTACAGATTTGTTCCTATTACGTATTGATTACAATCCTAATATCCTATTATAGATTTATACACTTAATCATGCAATATCTGTAAGATTTTGCATGATTATCTACAACAGAAACAAACTACCTTCAGCAACTTGACATGTACTATCCCTGCTATCAGAAAAATGCAAATATGCATAAAAAGTTCTTGAACATTTAATTCAGCAAGCAAGCATTCCTCCTACTAGAGGTTGAACCAGAGTTTCAGTGAAACCTATAATTTCCATGAAATTTAGATGTTCTAATTGCCACATCTACAAGTTTGTGTTGATTATTCTAGATTCTCTTGATGAGAGATTACAATTTGTTTCCTGTAAAGTAATTCTTGGAATAACAACAATGGGTTTTACTAATTAAAGAGGGTAATAAAAGTTAATATTTTCTCCAAAATTCTAATACGTATTAGAAATAGGAGAATTGAACATATCATTGTAACTGGAAATTGCAATTCAGTGTGCAGCAACAGTGCTTTTCCAAGAGAGACTGAATGACTTATCCTAATATAAAGATGTAGAACAGCTATTCACCATATCATACTTTAATAAGTGGACCAAAGAAAAATCCACCAGGCAAGATGTCCAAATCACTATCTTGCAAGGAAGAGTCAGATGCTGTTTCAATATGGCAGATACAGCTTGATAGGATAGAGCTGTAAGAATAGAGTGAATGCCTTACCAACCAATTGAAACGGTATTCCCTGGGGAAAAATGTAACCCTGAACACCAAAATTTTGAATAGCTGGAACTTGGTGCCCTGCAGCTAAAATCAAAATAATGTTATTTCAGAAAGGAATCGATGACCACCAAAAAAATGTAGTACAGATAGTTACTTTATCATACTTTAGTCAGTGGACCAAAGAAAAATTGACTTGGCAAGATCCAGATTACCATCTTGCCAAACAGAGTTAGATGCCCGTTAAAATATGGCAGATACAACTTGATAGGATAGAGCTGTGAGAATGGAGTGAATGCCTTACTAGCCAATTGAAGCGGTATTCCCTGGGGAAACATGTGATTTTGAACACCAATATTTTGATTAGCTGGAAATTGTTGCCCTGCAGCTATAATCAAAATAATGTTACTTCAGAAAGGAAGAAGTGAATACAATAAATTAAGTCCTCACGCATTGAAACATTACTAAGAGATATGTTTAACAAAATTATACACAGAAAAGAGGGAAAAAAAAAAAACCATTTTAAGCTCATAGAGTATACTTCAGCGACTCTTACCATGAAGAGTTGAGCTCAACCATGAAATTGTGGTCACTCGACATGAAACTTCATAAATCCAATCGTACTTAAAAAGCTACCAGGTCTTACATGCAGTATTAAGATTTAATTATCTATTTTTGGTTTGACAGTCCAAGCTCTCTCACAAGCATTAAATGACATAATGAAACTTCTTTCAAATTTCCTTTCCAAATATCCAATTCCTGTAACTAAAATGTCTTCTAATCTCTAGTCAGCACTTAACCAGCCTCAGAAAACCTGTTTTTGCAACTGCACAGATTTTTGACATCTATATAAAATATTTACAACTTGCAGGAAGTTTCACAGCTCCCCCCATAAGAAAGGCCTTTCAATCCAAGCATCCTCGTAAAGAATGTATGATGTCACTATGCTAACATTTAACTAGCTCACCTACACTAATAACTTCACTGGTAATGTTGCTTCTTCTTGGATAAAAAGAGGGAACCTATGCTCCGCATGACATGCCTTAAATCAGCAAACTTCACCAAATTAATAACTTCACCATGCATGGTTCAGCAGGTATGGAAAATCTGAAATTCAACAACAATGGTGATCAAATTCAAATTCAAACTACACAAAAGCGAACAAGAAATTAAGTTAACCAACATATTTCACAGAACCCATTGCATCATCTAAGGGAGAGTCAAATTCTTCCAAACACGTTAACCAGAATCCAGAATACTATTTCATTTCATCATTTTCTTTTCAATTGTCTTAAGAGGGTTGCAATAAGACAAGCAAACAATATAAAGAAACAAAAAGAAAGGAATCCCAGTTTAAAAAAGATTCAAAAGGGTTGAGAATGTTGGTACAAGAATGTGATTAAAACCACTCAACGTTGAAAGATAAATTAATATAAAAGAGTGATAATTAAATTGAAAAAAAAAAAACAGAAATAAAAAGAAAAAGAAGAGCTTTACCAGAAACAATGAAGAAACGAACAGATGAAATTGAAGGTCAAAGGACTCTAATCTGACCACCACTCTTCTGAAGAGAAACTACCACTGAAATTTATTTGTCGCTGAAACTACCAGTGTATATATGTATTTTGAATCAAAACTCTTTAGATTATTTAGGAAGATTCATAAATTTGATTAATAATGTTATGATAATTTTTTGTGAAATAAAAAAGAGAAGAGTTGGTACCCCTTGAACACCTAAATTACAAGCACACACGCAAAATGAAACTCAATTAGAACGAAAGTCAAAAACTAACGCAGAAGGGCATAAAGGTCATTTTCACTTCCTTTAAACCTTAAAAGTGAAAAAATAAAATAACTTGAACAATTATTTAAAAATTGAAAAATAAAAATAAAAAAAACATGAAAACTTGAAATAAAGATAAAAATTATGAGAAAAAATGAAAAATAAAATTTTAAAGAAATGCAAAAGAATATAATAACTTTGAAATTTAAAAAAAAATGGAAATTTTGAAAAAGCAAAAAAAAAAAAAATTCAGAAAAGAAATAAAAAAGTTATGAAAAAGAAATTAAAAATGAAAAAGAACAAATAATTATTCTTATTGTATGGAAAATTGATCATTCTAATTAAAAGCATTATTAATATAAAAGAAGTAAAAACATTTTGAAAAATAAAAGAAAAATTAGTCATAGTAGGAAAACAAATGATTTAATATTAAATAAATGAGCAATAAGCTTTAATTAATAAACTTTTGCTAAGTGGCGTCAACAGAATCAAATAGTGATAGTGGAAAGAATATAAAATATGGATCAGATCACAAACAATAAATAACCACCAAACACACTCAAACATTATGAATTAATTACCTTTCTTCCACAGCTTCATTCACCATGTATATTTGATGTAAGGCTGTAGGGCGTTTTTTGCATTGGGATTGTCCCACTCCAATGAATTCCACCACTCTTCTGCTACCACGGTTTCTTCAATTGCAGGCAGGGGAAGAGACAGAGGGAGCCTCTTCAGTTTTGGGCAATTGAATACTTCAATTTGTTGGAGAGAATCACAAACCATTACTCCATTACTACTACATATCCTCTTCAATTCTGGAAGACTCCACAATCTCAATATTTTCAATTTAGGAAGAGTTAGTGTGGCATTACTCCTTCCATCTTCCTCACTTTTTTCTTCACCAACATCTATTCTTATTATCTCCTCAATTTCATAACAAAACTTAACATCAATCACTTCTAGGTTTGGTAAGGCCCGCAACAACTTAGCTGACAACTTCTTTAAAGATAGACATTTAGATATGTAGACAGTTTTAAGGTCTGAATACTCTCCTAGAACATCACTTAAGCTTCTTACATTATGGCAATCATGTAGAGCTAGACACTGCAAGTCTTTTGGGGGTGCAACGAAGTTAGACACTTCATTAAACACTACATTTCTATTAACTTCAACTTCTTTGACAAGGGGCCAAAATGAATAACATTCAAACAACGTGCCTTGTATTCCTTGCAATCCCTTTAATGGTAATCCTACCGTAAGACTGTATTTTCTAAGTCTTGGACCTCCACTTCCTAAAGATTTGACATATATCTTAAAGTCTTCTATTTTTTTAAAGCACGCTTCTAAAGTATCTAATTCACTCAATTTTGATACCTCCTCAACCGTTTCTTCTAAAGTTTTGGATCCCCAATACACTCTCAATTTTTTGACACAACTTAATTTAGATAACATCCCAAGTGGTAACTTTTCTAGTTTCATTGAAAAAAGATTAAGGTATCTAAGCTTTTGCAGCATCTCCATACCTTCAGGGACTTCTCTTATTCAAGTTCCCTCAAGGTTCAAATTCTGAAGACACGCCAACTTTGCTAAACAAGGAACATGCTTTAAACCCTCACAATATTGAAGCAACAATGCTTTGAGATTCGTCAAATGAGAGATAGAATCTGGCAACTTCTCGATATTTGTAAAGGAAAGATTGAGAATCGTCAAGCCTTGCATCCTTACAAAAAAAGACTTAGGAATGTCCTTTAAATGAATATTTTCTTGTAGAAGCAAAGTTGAAAGAGCTTGACAATTTGGTGACATATTTGGAGGAATTTCTGATATGTCATTCATCATTAATGAAGCCTTTTCAAGATTCTCTTTCCATTCTTGTTCCCTTGGTAATTCTTGCAATTTCTTTCCAGCTTTTACCATGAATAAAGGACTTATGCTTGTAATGTACAATGCCATGTCTCTTATAAGATCATGCATCTTTACACACCTTCCATCATCAGTAGTCTCCAACAAGCAATTGTTTACAAGTCTATTCAATATAGAATAACCCCCATCGTATGTTGCTTGAATACTACCCCTTTCCTCCACAAGTTCTTCTGCAATCCAATAATCTATTAACTCCTCTTTCGGGATTTGGAAATCTTCGGGATATAGTGCACAATATAGGAAACAATGTTGCACCGTTTTACTCTTCAAGCGATCATAACTGAACTGTAATTGCCCCAGTACATTTGTTTCCATGCCTTTGACACTTTGTATGCTTTTAGACAAATCTTCCACTGCATTCCTCCATTCACAAATGTCATATTCTCCCCTCATGCAACAAGCTATTGCAACAATTGCAAGGGGTACGCCAGCACATTGTTCAACCACAAGTTTCACAATGTCTTTCAAAGCTGGAACTTCAACAATTTTACGTTCCACTTTATTAATGAATAACGTCAATGCCTCATCATCCGAGAGACACCTCACTTTCACTATTTTACAACCCATGAAACGACATACATCTTGTGAACGAGTTGTTATCACTAATTTGCATCCACTATCTTTTGTAGGTTCAGGAATTCCCACTTCCTCAAGCATAATGCTTGCCACATATCATCTAATAACAACACAATCTTTCTTCCTTCCAACATATTCCATAATTTTCCAGCCCGTATCGTTCTATCTTCATCTCTAGGAAGATCTTCTTTCAATGAAGCTACAATTTGATCTTGCAATTTCATAAGATCAAGTGGTTGAGATACAGTGACCCAAATCACCTTTTGGAACTTATCCGTCTCCTTGAGGAGTTTGTTATTGATATGAGTTATTATAGTTGTTTTACCGATTCCCCCCATCCCACAAACTCCTATCTTCATCACCTCATCACCCATCAAATGTTTCCAAATTTCGTTCATGTTTTTCTCCACCGTTGTTTCACCTATGAATGTTGTTGTTGGTAGTACCACTCCAGCAGTTGGAGGTACATCAATAACCAAACTCTCAAATGCACCATTCCGGTGATGTACTAACACTTCTTAAATCTTCTCGTCAACAAGTTTTCCTAGACGAACACGTGAGAAATATTTCACCTTATTAACTTGTCTCTCAATATATCATACTTCCTAATTGATCCTAAAAGTATTTTGCAACCAATTATTGACTTCAGCTTTAGGTAATTTCCCCATATTACACTCTGTGCTCAGCCTTACTTCAACATCTTCCTTTCGCCTATTTAACTCTTCCAATCTTTTTTTCAGAGTTTCCATATTCCCATGAAGCTTCCTATAATATCGAACATATTTGCATAATGGCGGCCCTGTGCATTTTAGGATTTCAATGATTGGCCCTATAATAGCCTCCATTAGTTTGGTCCCTGTACACAAATAGTTAGGGTTGCCACAATATTTTTGTTTGAAGTTGCCATTTTCTACAAGAAATTGTAATGGATTAAACTAAACTAGCAATAGCAAAAGTTAGGTAGGTTTTAATATATTAAATATAAATGCAAGGAAAATTGTTACAAGAGCTAATGGTAGTGTCACAAACAAAAAATGAAGTTATATACAACAATAATATGATTTTATTACAGCTTTATTAAATTAACTACTCTGCTATTCCATTCAAACACACCGCCATAACTAATTAGACAAGTAAATTTATAGAAAAACGTTTCAATTGAATATGGTAGAATTAGGAGGATTTTAAGTTGAAAGAAAAGTTCAAATTTAATTACATTGCTTAATAATTACGAAAACAAAAAACTAAATTTGCAATATAACATATTAATTACATCAAATTTGATAAAAAAATTAATATAGAATTTAAATATGTATTAATCTCGTATAAACTTAGTTGGAATATGGGCATGAAGGAATAATTTTATTGCTATAAGTGGTTTGTTGGCTAAATCTCTAGACAATCAATCATACATATTGCAAGATAATTTAAAATGCAAGAAGCATGATTGTGTAATACAGTGCTTAACCATTTATTGTAAAGAATATGCGAATTTGTTTTCTAAAAATAAAAGAAAATGACAAATGAAACAAAAATTGAATTTCATAGCTTTAATATTAGAGAATAACAAGGTACCTCTTATGAAAATATTACTTAATCTAAAAAGGTGTTTCAGACATCTAAATGATTTTAATACGATTATTAATCAACTGTCATATGTTAAAATTGAATTTGATAATGACGTTTGTGCCTTAATTCTTATGACCATTTTACCAAATAGTTGGGAATCCATAAGACTAGCACGTTAGTAATTTAATAGATAGTGTGAAATTAAAATTTATTGACTTTAGGTGGAGTTGGTAATGGTTCTGGCCATGATGGAGGCTGAGAAGAGAAGAGAAAAAGAAGAAAGAATGATATTTTTGTCTTCACAATGAATATCACTACATTTAACGGAAATTATTAACAGAATATAACGTTTGGTTAGTAAAGTTGTATTTTGAAATCTTTTGGGTGAGAAAGTGTCATTAAGTCATTATTTGGGTAAAAAATTGTTTACTCATATTAAAAAACCCCTGTTGTTAGTAATATATTAGGGTTTCATCCAATTTTAAAAATCAAAAGTCTGTTTTACCCCACTCATCACTTACCAACTTATCCTTCACTCAAATAATCCAATCCACAAAATCAACCTTGAATTTACAATTATACTTTTCAAAGTTACACATTTACATAATAAATATAAATAACCATTTAATTAAATAATAAAAAAATTCAAATTAAAAAAATGAATTTGGTTAAGATAAATGAATTTAACAAAATATGTAAAGATAAATGTTTATTTGAAAAAACTGAAGCAAATGTTTTGAAATTTATATTATGAGATAGACAAAGGCTGGAAAATAAAAATAAATCTCAAAATAATTTTAATTAAGACAAAATCAAAATACTGATTTTTTGGTACTAATCTTTTCTTCCAAAACAATTAAGATTAAATTTTTTAAATGACTCATAAATTGTGTGGAAACTATTCTAGCATTTTAATAATTTTTCAATGATTTATAAATATATTGAGGAATAAAAAATAAATATTGTTTTAAGTTGGTAAAGTGACCAGAGGGTAACACAAACTTTTGAATTTGAAATACTCTAGCATATCACTAACAACTGAAGAGTTTTTAATACTTTCTGAATTTGTTGGATGAGTTTAATATAATTGATCTCACAAGGGTGTAAATAAAATAAACCATTTAGAAATAAAAAAATGTGTCTCAAACCAGGAGCATCAATATTCATTCATGATACCTAGGGTGGGAAAATGTACTTCAGCTTAAAAATTAAATAACCATTATTTACACTTGCCATCCATAATATTAATAGTTAAGAAACAAGAAGTGACACAAAATATTACATGAAGATTAAGTTAGAGAGAAACAAAATAAAATTCAAGTAATATACTACTTATATATGAGAAGCTTATAAATAACATTAAATAATAATAATAAGGATCATATTATGCACTCTTTCGAATAGTGTTATCTAAGGGTAATAATAAAATCCTTTTAAAGAAATCAAAGTTATTGTACCTGAACTAACGGTAGCTTTGATTTTTAAATATTGTGAAAGATAGATCTGCCAAGAATCTTGTTGAAGGCAAGAAGTAAATGTTATTAACTTTTTTTTAAGAAGTGAAATTCAGGGTGTTCAAAATCACAGCTTTCTGAGCAGACCAAACACAGATCCAAAACAACAATGTAAACCCAGTTACAAAAAGCAAGATCACAAGGTAAAAAGTGAGAACCCATCAAGAAAAACACAAGAAAACTAAAAAAAAAAAGTACCTGATTTCAAGGATCGAAACTGCAAGAGCCTTGCTTTTTTCAATTTATTTGCTTTTGCAGTGAAAAAGAGAGCTCTTTGTTAGAAACAGTATATAGATTTCAGAGAGAATAAAGAAGAATCGGAAAGATGTTTTTCATTCAGTAAGTCTTCTTGTTTACATCCACTGACAATTACAATCAATTGTGTGTGGATGTACACAAAAGATGACAATATGCAGAATTTTGTCCTTATATGGGACCCAAATCTTAGTATTTCTTTTTTTTTTTTATTCATTGAATCAAATTTTTAAAAATAAAATTTATGAGAAAATAAAGATACGAACAGAGCAATCTCCTCTCTCATCTGCTCAAAGAAAAAAGTCAGTAATTAAGCACAAGAATTTAATGTGTGTCTATCCGTGACGACGTTGAATAAAGGCGCTTCAATTTTTTTACAGGAAAAACAAGTGTATGTTGATAGGTGGTAGGAATGAATTAATGAATGGAATTAAATTTCTTCTTTAAGAGTGGAACCCGCTGCCTTGTGCCTCTTAAAGAAGAAAGATCAATATATTAAAAGCCCTCAACTTTGAAACAGGTACATTTCATTAGTTACAAAGAATTGATAAAAATATCAAACAACATAAGTGCTTTNCTTAATCAATAATATGGCTATTTAGTTAACATTTCAAAACTTGATAGCCTTTTAATTAAATGTAAACTTCAAATGTCTTTTTAATAACTTCCCCCGTTTTTGAAGGCTTTAGTATTTATTGGTATCTATGTGATCTTTTATTGAAACGATGCGTTTAATGGGAGTGGTATTTTTGTAATTTGGTGAAACTTTAAAGATACCAACATAATTAATTAATTGAATATAATTATTCTTATAGTATCATAATTGATCATTCTAATTAAATTTAAAAGCATTAATTGTAGAGAATATAAAAGAAGTAGAAACATTGTCGCTAACCTGGCAGTGTTGTGGGCAGTGGGGCACACGTTGGGTCAAACTATTATCTATTTAATTGAAACGATGCGTTTAATGGAAGTGGTGTTTTTGTAATTTGGTGAAACTTTAAAGATACCAACATAATTAATTGAATATAATTAAAAAGCATTAATTGTTATTAAGCAATAAATAACAATTAATGATATATTACTATATTAATAAAAACATTTTGAAATATAAATTAAAAAGCATAATTAATTGTTTTTAAGCATTATTAGTAACAATTAATTGAATATAAAAGAAGTAAAAACAATTAAATATTTTGAAATATGGCATTTTGTTATTCAAGCAGCAAATAATATTACTATATTATTCAAATGATTTAATTTTAAATAAATGAGCAATAAATAATATGTTATTAATAAATTCTTGCTGAGTGGCATCAAAATTTAATCTACGGAATCAAATAGTGATAGTGAAACAAAAGAAGTCAACGATGAATCAGATCACAAACAAGAAAGAACCACCAAACACAGTCAACATTATGAATTAGTGGGCAGGGCACGGAATTTAATTACCTTTGTTCCACAGCTTCAATAATCAATATATTTGATGTAAGGTTGTAGGGCGTTTTTTGCATTGGGATTGTCCCACTCTAATGAATTCCACCAGTCTTCTTCGACCTTGATTTCTTTAATTGCAGGCAGAGGAAGAGATAGAGGGAGCCTTTTCAGTTTTGGGCACCTCCATACTTCAATTTGCTCGAGAGAATCACAAACCATTACTCCATTGCTACTCAATTTTGGAAGATCCAACAATCTCAATATTTTCAATGTAGGAAGAGTTAGAGTGAATCCCATGGTATTACT